ACACACACACACACACACACACACACACACACAATAACAGTTGTCCTTTCATGCTGTGTTCTGTTACTCACACTCACACACACACACACACATACACACACTTCAATAACAGTTGTCCTTTCATGCTGTGTTCTGTTACACACACACACACACTTCAATAACAGTTGTCCTTTCATGTTTTGTGTATGTGGGGATGGTTTGTGCAGCCTTAGCCCAACAAGATTCCATCTTGGCCCGCACCTCTGCAAACCAGCCTCTGGTTGAAGGCTCGCTGGTGTCCCTTGCTACCTGTGGTGACACCAGTTGAGATAGGAATGGGGAGTGCTGTCTTCCCCTGATCCTTTTGTGACTGACCTCTGCAGGTTTTGTAAGGGCACTGTCCTGTAAGGGAGCCTGGAGTTACATGTACTGGGGCTCCACTGCCCTCTGCCGGTCAGCTCCTGGAAGTGCACTGCAGGGGCCCAATTGCTCAGCGCACCAGGTGCCCCATTGGGCAGAGCCCATCACACACCTAACCACATTCCATCCAGGGGTCCCGGCCCCATTCTACAGGTGAGAACACAAGCTCAAAAGCTTCAGTGGCTTCTGCTGTCTGCAGTATAAGGGACAAGACGTTCACGGGGGACGGGGGTGGGGGTAGGGGCCCCCTGCCACACGTGGCACTCTTCCAAGCCACATCTGCCTGTTCTCAAGGTCCTGGGCCTTCCCACATGCCACTCTCAGTCCAGCTTATTTGGGGACTCTGGAACCTTCTTCACCTGGTTCACCTAGGCTTATCCTTTGGGCCTGTCCTAAGATCTCATTTACTCAGGAAAAGCCAGCCCCCCCATTCCCTCTCACTGCACCCCGCTCTTCCCTCCCAGGACCCTGTCTGCTGGGCACTGCGTGCGACTGACTGCTGGCTCCTCTGCTAGCCTGAGTGCCCTCGAGGGCAGAGAGCATCTTGCTCTGCACACTGCTGCGTCCTGGAGCCTGGCACCCAGTGATAACCACCCCGGCAGCTGGCGTTTATTAAGTGATTCTGTGTGTCAGCCACTGAGCTAAGTCATTTAGCGC